GATGGCTGGACTGGCTGATCTTAGAGGTCTTTTCCAACCTTAATGGTTCCAGGACTGGGCTGGGAAGGAGAGTCACATCTCAGCCACTTGCTGGGAGAGCTGGCCCCACCATAGCTGGACAGTGAGAGCTTCCAGTTCCCCCTCTCCTCTAGCAGAAGCTCATTAATCTGCTGGTTGCTGCTGCAGCATGGCCTGGCCTCTGGCCTGCAGGAATTCCTGTCCCCATGTCCCTGACAGCACGTCTGGATTTGCTCCAGTGGAGGCTGGTGTCCTTCACAGTGACCTTCAGCTCCTGGCAGGGACCCTCTGCAGGTGTCCTCCCTCTACCTGTCTCACTCCTCAGCTGCATTAGCTCACAGAATATCTAATTTAAAAGTCCAGTATGAGCTAATTTAGTCAGACTTTTATTTCTTACTCATTACCAGCCCCTGGAGGGGTTTCAAAGCTGTGGAGATGTGCTGAGGGACGTGGCTGAGTGCTAAACTGGCAGTGCTGGGTTGGATTTGATGATAAAGGTCTTATCTAACCAGAAAAGTTCTGGTTCTGTGGTTCTGTGACTAAAGTAAGGATCAAGAATGACCCTCAGAACACCACTGATGCCTCCTGGAAGCCACCATGCAGCAATTTCCCTGGTATCTGGGGTCCTTGCCAGTGTAACCCCCACACCACACACCCTTCCCCAGGCTCCCTGTGCCTCAAAGCATCTGCTGGGAGGACCCCAAGGGAGATGGGTCACCAACAACCACACTCCTGTCACCTCCTGGTGGATCCTGTGGCTGAACACCAGCAGCCCTGCAGAACTCCAGCCAGCTTTTGGTTAAGATCAGGAGATTTTAGAACCCTGTGGTGCTCCTCCACTGACACAAGGGCACTGTAACCACACTGCAGCTGCCCACAGGAGACCTCAGAGGGTTGTTGGGGTCTCCACACCTCCAAGTCTTCAGATTATGGCCCAGCTCATCCCAGGAGCACCCACAAAGCTGTCAGGGATCCCTGGTGGCAGCAGCAACTCACCTGTCAGCAGATCCCCCGGCGATTTTACTCCCATCAGGGGACCAAGAGCACCTCAGAAGGTTCTGGAACAAAAAAGCACGTGCACAGATCTGTTTCCAAAGCCAGATTTTTGTTTTCCCCTCCTTGTTTGAATCAAAAACCACCCTGAGAGTTTCAATATCCCCAGCACCACTTTAACCACCTCCCTTCGGGAGCCGGGGTGGTAATTACAGATTTTAGTTGATTGCTGGGAACACCCCGTGCCTTGTTATTTTACACCAAACAGGCAGTAAATGTAGAAAACACTTAATTTACAGCTAATTACAGCCAAGCCCAGCACAGACCTCTCGTTATTGCAGTTTTAATTGGAACCCCGCTCCGTGAGTTCATCTTTCTTGGAGTTCTTATTAAAACTGGAATTAAAAACCAATTTGGAGAGGAGCTGGTGGCAGTGGTGCCTGAGGAAGCCTCACGGGTGGGGCTGCAGCACACTCCCACCTTCTCAAAGTTGTGGACGTTGCCCTGGAAGACCTTCACACATCTCTCCTTGGGGGCGAAGGGCCGCACGTCCCAGATGCGAACTGCAAGAGAGAGCTCCCAGTTGGCAGCTGGGGAGGGCAGGGACAGGGGCAGCTCCTGGGGATGGCCCTAAAACCTGCCCTGCTCCTGCCCCTTCTTCTCCTCAGGGCTGGGTTTGTACAGAAAGGGAAGAGCAAAAAAAGGGAAAAGCAAAAAAAGGGAAAAGCCAAAAAAAAGGAGGAAAAAGCCAAAAAAAAGGGAGGAAAAAGCACCAGAAAAAGGAGGAAAA